CGTTGCCAACATAAAAAAATGAAAATCGCGAGGTTACACTAGATTCGCGTGAAATATATCTAATTTCTGATTGGTCGCAAATTAGTCCAGGAATCTTCTTTATATTTCTTGATGCTGATTGGCCAGACAAAAAGGAGGGTAATTCAAATGTTGACAAAATTGATTCTTCACAATAATAATAAATCCTTGAATAAAAATCGGTTTCTTGAATTATTCTTCAGTAAATAATAAATTAATTCGAGAGGGATTAATTTGACGCCAGATGTTAAGTTATCAAGTCCTCTTCCATATAATTGAACGTGGTGAATATTAAAAGTTGCAATTCCAAAAAGACTAAGTGCCACTTACACGAATAGGACGGCTGAATACCTTTTCAATCACAAACTGACATTAATACAGGAACACGGTAAATTATAGGGCCCATCTATCATGAAGCAATAAGAGTTTCGAACTAAGTTCTCTTGTCTGATAAAGCCTTCCAAGAATCGGGAAATCTTGAGTATTTCACCAGGAAACGAAGTCAGTCAATAATTTTCAGTATAATAAACACAGAAAAATTACGTGGCATCCCAAAATAGTCCAATTCAAGGGTACGTCAGAAGAATAAATTCAAATAAAATAGAAGAATCCAAAATAAGGGTCAGGTCGAACAGCAAAAATTTAATTTCCGTTAGTAGTAAAATCGAAAGATGTCAAATTCAAATATTAATCTTCCAGGAATCCAGAAATCTTCATAATGTTGACTCGCAAAAATTTACATGAAATAGAAAAAGGATCACAAAAGTTAATTCTTAAATTAATTAATTTTTAATTTTGTCCTATATCTCGAATTGTTGTGAAATCATGGAGTAATTCTCTAACACGAATAAATCAAATTTTGAATGATAGAAGCGCGAAATAACTTTTTTTTTATATGAAACTTTGTGAATTGTAAAATAATAAATTTTACAATGTCACAAGATATAGGAAGTATATACCAAAACATAATATTTATGTATTTTATTTTAATTAAAAGTTGACGTGTTCAAGGTTTTATTTATTTTCATTGCTAACTTTGCTGGCGGTGCAAAAATACCTACATAAAAAAGGCTTTATTATTGTTTTTAGACTTAAAGTGTTTAGACTTAAAGTATTATGATGATTTTAGATAAAGAAAACCTTGTTTTAAAAGAAAAATTAAACTTTACTTTATTTTTGTCTGTTATTATATTTTATTTTTAAGAGTAGTAATTAACACAGAATTTGGGCTTGATTTAATTTCTGCGCCCTCAGAAAATCAACTAAGACTGGTTACAATAGACTATCTATTTTGAAAAAGAGCAAGAAAAAATTATGAAAATGAAAGAAAAAATGAAGATTATGGAGGAAAAACTAAAGAAAATTTAATAAATACATAAATTAATTAAGGAAGAATTCTGTTATTAGGTTTTAACTAAATGTTTCAAAAATGTGATAATTCAGAAATTATTTGTTACTTTTGTTAATATATGATATATATTTATTTTTAATAAGTTTATATTCTATTCAATTAAACATTGATTAAAATCATTGTCCCATTTTGATTTCATATAGTAGTTTGCGGTATTATACACATAAACACGAAATTATGCGCAGAAACTGACCCACAGGAATTAAATTCGCGCAGCAACTGATGCGCAGCAACTGACTCAAACGCGCAGAATTAAACGCATTGCATATTATTTTTAATTCATTAAATTTATTAAAATAAATTATATTTTAGAGATGGTATTTATTGTAAACATATCTTAATAACACAAACTACAAATTTAATAAGACATAAGTTCAATTTGATCAATATAAAAATTATATTTTATAGTTAAAAGACGTCTTGACCAAAATACCGCAGGAATTAGTACACTTACCCTACATATTTTTGACTTTTTAAAATAATAATATTAAACCATTTTTCAAAGCCTTCAAACTTGCTGTTTTTAAACAGTGAAAAAAACATTTTTTCGTAAATTTAATGTAAAATCCCCAAAAATCAATATTTTTTGACCGGACGAGTCTCTTTCTCTTCAGAAACGTTCAAAGAATGAAACCTAATTTTTTAATTAAAAAAAATTCATTTTTAATATTTTTCAGTATATTTGAGTATAGACTCAGGCGCGAGTCCCTTAGAAATTGCTCTATAAAATTAATATGGAAGCAGATAAATATAAAACTAAATATATCGTTCGAAAGGTAATGAAACAAGCTTTCAAATGATGTAAATATCGAGTCTTTAAATTTATAAACCTGGGCTAGGTAGTCTCTTAAATAAAGCGAAAAGCGTCCTGCCGGCAGGACCGGGGTTCGTCATTCTGTGACTAAAAATTATGTGAATTTTTGGAACATGTAACTTCTTCAAACTACCCAGCCCTTAGTTTTGAACTTACAAGCTCGATATTTATATGCGCTGAAAGCTTGTTTCGTTACCTTTCCAATGATATATATCATTTTTTATTTATCTGAATCCATGTTAGTTTTCTTTAGTGATTTCGGAGGGACTCACCTGAGTCTTTTTCGTCCTGCCGGAAAGACGTTGGACGATTTATCATTAAGTTTGATTTAAACAAAATTTGATGGTAGGTACCAAATAAATCGTTTTCTCAGTAAATGAATTCAATTATTTTCAAACATTTAAATGAAATTCTTCTCAACAATTCAATTATTTTTATAAATATTAAATTTCTTCGAAGGATTTCAATTATTATTAATACATTTTTATTTCAATTTCTCGATACAAAAAAATAATGATCGTTAACTTTAACACTTAATTAATTTAAATAAATTTGTATTGAAAGTAATTAAATCCCTGCAAAGAATTTTAATGTTTATAAGAAATAATAATTGAATTCTTAAGAAGAATTTTATCAACATTTTTAAAAATAATTGAAATCATTTGATGAATTTAAAAAAAGAAATTTTAAATAATTGAATTTCATCGAAAAATGTTATTACAAATGTATTAAAAATAATTGCCTTCTTATGGAAAACTTTATTGTTTATAAAAAAATTGAAATCCTGGGAAGATTTTTAGTAGATAAAATAATAATAATAATTGAAATCGAACGAAGAAATAAATTATTTATTTTTGTATTTAAATAATTGAATTCTCGAAGAATTTTCTAATAAAAATTGATTTAAAAGTGAATTTTTTATTAATCGAAATTTTGTAAAATTAAATTGTAAACAAAAAGGCTTGAAAATTCTCAAGGAACTTTTTCAAAAATTATTAAAAATTGATTTATAAAAGAATTTTATAGTTAAAAATTGTAGAAAATAATAATTGAATTTAAAATAATTTTGAAGAAGTTGGAGTAACATTATTCTTAATATAATATAAAATAATGAGTTTATCACTCGGCCATCCTTAATTATTATGAAACGTGAAGAAATTTAAATTATAATTTTAATTAAAATATTCTTATGTTACTTAAATTTATGAATTTTTCACAGATTTTTTTCACCTGAAGAGGATATCAACGTTGATATCGAAACGTCGTGAGTGACGATTTATTGTTTTAAATAAATATTATTATCCAGTAATTCCTGAAAATTATTTTTAAAAATATTCTCTTATTTGACTCGGACTGTTTATATTTTTGTCAGTAATTGGTCAGTAAGTTGTCCCTAATTTTTCATTTTTGGGTCGTAAAGTCCTTATTTTTTAATACTCTCACTGGTTCGAGCCCTGCTTTAAAGAAAATTATTTAAAATTTTATTTATGATCATAATTATTTGATCAAAATAATAAACGAAATTACTTTCTTATCACAGTAAAATTCAAAGAGAAGGTATTTTTAATGCCACCTTTAAACATCTTAAAAACATCTTAAGGTCATGTTATTCAGTGTGGCGTATTCCCATAGTAGGGGAGAGTGGGGCAAAATGGGGTAGGCGGGTCAAATGGGGTACCTCTGTTTTTCCATGATAGGTACTTTTAATTTTTTTATCCTCGACATATATCATTCATGTTGATAAGAAACTGTTATTAATTATGAAGACATTCTAAAGAAAATTTTTTTTTGAAAGTTATACAACTTTTAAGTTTTAAGCAAAAAAAATATGAATTTTTTTCAAAATTAAAGTGCTTACCAAACTTTTTGGGATAATGCATTTAGTTTGGCAAGTGTGGGATCTTTTTCAGTACTTATTCTAGAGTAATTTCCAATAGAATAGATTGTTTAATTGTTTACAATAACTTGTAAACATTGCATTTTGTTTTAATATGCAGTGTGGGGCAGAATGGGGTACCTAAGTGTGGGGCATGCCGGAAGCTACGCCGTTTCATTAAAACTATTTATATTATGCATATTTAAAGGTTTCCTGCAGAAGAATCAATATTTTTGCTTCGAGGCATTTATACTATCGATGTTTCATTATCGGTTTATCGATATTTTGCAATATTCATGTTTTTTTGTTAAATTCTAATAAATATTACTTGTTTTTTCATAATAATGAAGAATCCTACTTTGTGTTTGTATTTACAATCTCATACAACAAGAATTTAATGAATTTTGAAAAAATATTCAATGTTTTGTATAGTTATTTGATGCCACCCCATTTTGCCCCACGGGTGGGGCAAAATGGGATTTTAGCACTTTCTCAGAAAATACGATATAAGTTCTTTCAAAAATTTGTTTCTCTGCTATTATCATAATTTCCTCAAAGCTAAGTGTACAAAGAAAAATTCTGAAGTTTAGCTGAATCAATTTATTCGTTTGGTTCTCTGTAAACAGCCAATTTCAAAAAGGTACCCCATTTTGCCCCACTCTCCCCTAATGTACATGGGGCACGTGAAAAATGAGATGTTTTAAATATCTTAAAAGTGACTAGAATGTACTTTAAGATGCTTCTTTCTGCACTGTTGTTTTATTGCAATGAAGATGGTCAAAAAGATAGCAAATGAAAAAAAAAATAAGACTTTCTTTTTTTCGAATATATTTTTCATTGTAAGAGCCTGTTCTGATGTTGAACGTGTTTTATTGTTTCAGATAACCTAACAGTCGAAGAAAGGCATTGTTGATAAGTTATCTGGTGTAAAGTGCCGACTAGTCGCGAGAGGAGCCAGACGAGTTGTTGGGACAAACTAAAGGCCTCGTTTAAAGGGTTGTAAAGTCGCGTCGTGTAAAAGCAGAGAAACGAAGAAGAAGAAGAAGAAGAAGGGGGCAGAACACTTAACCTCGATCGCTCAAAGTGCCAAAAGCGCTTTCGTTTCACGCGATCTCGAAGGTGAAATAATCGTGAAAATTATTACTTAACTATAGAGACCTTTTGAAAAGGGACGACGCATTTATAATGCACTCGCTCTCTTGAATTTTGACTGAAATTACAACATCGATCTTAAAGCGTTTTAAATTCGTGTTTAAAATATCTAAAAGAAAAAGTTACAATTTAATTATATATTCGTGTTAGTGTTTGCAGTGTTTACGTGTTCATTGTTAATGATTAGAAAAATACCAAGATCCGTCCTGATATGATGATTATTAATAATCAGTCATCGAAAAAGAAGAAGAAGAAGAATATTTCGAAAGTTTGTGATTTGGGACTAAGAAAATTTGGTGAATCGTCGTCGAGGAAGAGAGGAGAAGGAGGAGGAAGAGGAAGAGGAGTTTGCTGTATCCTGGAAGCTTAATAAAAGAGCCTCGTGACGGAGGGCCTTCGTACGGCCCTGGCGCGGCTGCGGCACTGCACCCCTTCCGGGGGTTCCCTGCCAAATACCCCGAATCCACCCTCAACCCCGGAACATAGAGACCACGTAAGTCGAGTAAAAGTACGTTCTTTTTCATTTTCTACACTTTATCTTCTCCCCCTTCCTACCCCCTATAGCCACTAAAAGAAAAAGAATACCCATTATTCTAGACTTTTCGCATACCTTCAAATTGATCGACTTCAATTCAACTATATGGGATTTTTTATAAACTCACGACAGTGATTATAGATTGCTTCTATTCATCATTTTCTTTATCTTTTATTTTTATTTCATTTTTTTCAGTTTTCAAAAATATTAATTTTATTTAATATTAATGATCAATTATTAATCAGGTTTGCGACAAGTCAGAGAATTCAGAGAATTCCGCAACGTTTTTGAAAACAAAAACTCAAAAATAATATGAAGATTTATTTTATTAGACTTTTAAATTTTAATTCATCTTACATGGAGAGAATCCCTGGTAGAAAAATTTGGTGGCGCTAGCATGGTGCCACTCTTGCGTGCCATTGCGCTGTAGTGGCGCTAAGAGCATTTGAAACACTTTTTTAGTCTAGCGCCTTTCTCGCATTCTGCCCGCAGTGCTAGAATGAACATAACCTCACCTGCCAAAACTTTATTTCGCGAATTAAAAAATGATTCCTATGTCATTTCTTTTGACGAAAATAATTAAAAAAAATCGTGTACATATAAAAAACATTTACTAATTATCTGCCTACAATGAAGTTTTAACGTATTTGAAGAGTTAATTCACGTTTCGTTTAAAGTTATGGTAAGATTTTAATTCAGAAAACGGCAACCTTTTCTTAATCCCAAGCCTAATCAAAATTTTGATCATTATTTGCTGTATAAAATTGTTTTTTAAATATGGAAATTTTAAGAATAAATTATTATTAAATTTTCATAACAAATTATTTATTTCTTTAGTAACAGTGTCAAAAATAGTTACACATGTTAAACATTGAAATTAAAATTTTTGAAATTAATCAATTTCTTTTATAATAATAATAATAATAATTGCAAAAATTAAGTTCCTATTTAAAATCAGTCAATCTTTTCTGTCAGGTGAATTAAAAATAAAGAAAAAATAAATCCAGTTTGAGGTTATGTTTTTTAATTCGAATGGAGAAAAATTATTAATATATATTTGATCCATCAAAAAGTATTTATTGTTACTCTTGGTGATAAATCGTTAAATTAATTACTTAAAATATATTTAAAAATTTTCTTGGAGATTGAATAAAACATTCATATACTAAAAATTCTTTTATAAATAAGTGTATAAATTAACGAATGAACAAGAAATTTATAATGCAATATTAATTTATGTTTAAATTTAATACAATTACAAATATATAAATACTTACAATCCTTTACTATATATTGTTTTTAAATGCCACAATATTCTACAAGCAAACATTTACTTTTACTTTAAAAATAGAAGCAAACACCTTTGACACTTTATGCAACAGAAATTTGAGGTTATGTTGCATTCTAGCGGAAAGTGCTCGCGCCATGCAAGGCGCTAGAAGACGTCGGCGAGATAAATTGCCATGCAAATTCCAGTGGTGGCGCTAGCATATATCTAGGCTTCCATTAAATTTTTTCTACCTGGGAAAGTATATATTAAATTTTTTAAAATTATTTCACAATTTGGGGGAAAAATGCGACAAAGCAAAATTTTGATATAAAAAATACTAAACTTTGAAAAAACTTAAGTGAAATTTAGTATAATTATATCAAATATAAGAATTTTAGTTAAATTTATAACTTTACTAAATTTCACATTATTTCTTTCACTGTTTAGTATTTTCTATGTAAAAATTTCGGTTTCTTGCACTTTTTCTCTAAATTGTAAAATACTTTTACAAAATTTAATATATATTTTCTCTACGTGTATTTTTTAACAAATTGTCTTTTAAGTAGCAATTATCAAGTAATAATTTCTTAAAAACCTATAATAATTCAATAGATCTTTAATTTTCATGTTCTTACGAACATGAAAATAAAAGTTCAATTGAATTATTGAAAAAAATATATTTTTCGTTTTTAAAAAAGTTGCGGACTTTAGGTTCATATCAAGAAAAAGTCAGGGCATTTTATCAAAGGTATACTAGAAAAATAACTAATAAAATAAATAATAAATTAAATTTATTATTAAATTAAATATTATAATATAAAAAATACTAATAAAAATAAATAAAATAATACTAAAAATAACAAATTTTTAGAATATAACTACAAAAATTCTGGTATTTTTGTTTTTTTCCGTTTAATGGTGTCAAAATAAAATTGTTGAAAAACTTAACAACTTTGAATTCTCCTTGGAATATTTTTTCATCCTAAACCTATTTGAATTAACATTAAATTTTGAAACAATACAATTGCTACAATAAAATTAATAATGATTAAATATTTATTTTAATTAAGTAAAAGATTCGCAATTGTTTGTATTGATATTTTTTTTAAATATAGATTTAATGGATCTAAATTTTATCTAAAACAGTTTAATTACGAAAGACTTATAACTAAAATTTTTATGATTAGTTAACTTTAAAAATACTTTTAATTGTTTTTAATAATTACGCAATTTCAAAAGATTTTATTCGAAATTCTCAAAAAATTGTAATTATTAATGAAATTTGAATTTTTATAAACAAGCAATTAAAAAGTTTTTTAAATAATTGAAATTTAAATTGGATTAAAAGTAATTGTATTTTTTGAAACTTTTTGAAAATAATCAAAGGGAGTTCGCACTTGATTTATAATAATTTAATTCTTGCAAAACAAAATTTATCACTTATAAATTGTTTAACAAATAATTATATTAAAAATTTTTTGAGCATTTTTTCAATAATAATTCTTTTTTTCATTCTATTAGAATTATTTATTATTTTTCTAAAAAATTATTAAAGTTTTGAAAATAATGTTGTTTAAAAATTCTAGAAAATAATTGTATTTTGAAAGAATTGCAGTTGTAATATTTTAAGAAAAAAATAAATTTCATAAGATTTCACATTTAAATTATTTTAAATTTTAATTCTTGTGAAAAAATAAATAATAATAAGTAGTAATTAAAATCTTGAATAATTTAATTTAGAAAATTGATACAATTGAAAATTTTGTGAAATTTCGTTGCATAAATTTTATATTTGACAAAATTCAATTTTTTTTACTTTAAAAAATTATGAAGTAATTAAGAAACCGTGTTTTTGAAGAATTCTAACTAAAAATTTGGAAAATAGCTGATTTTTACAAAAATTTTGAATTAAACTTCGAAATCACCAGGAATTTTATTATAAAACCTATAAAAGAATTGTTTATTTCTAACAAGAATAAGAGATTTAATTTATTTTAAATAAATTAATTCTTGAAGAACTATCATAGAATTATTAGATTCTTATAAATTATCTAGACAATTATTTTTACTTCAAAATTTCAAAAATAATTGAATTTTAAAAGAGTTGCGTTTACAAAATATGTACTTATTTTTTAAAAACTTTTTATTGTTGATTCAGGTTAATTTCAGAATTATTTTAGTTAAACTATTTTTTTTTTTGTATCATTGAATTCTTAAAAAAGTTTTTCATAAATTATTAAAAAATTGATTTAGAGAAGAATTTTAGTTAAAAGTAATAGAAAATAATTGAATTTTAAAATGTTAACAATAATTTTGGAGAAATTACAGCAGCAATTCTTATAAAATATTAAAAAAATAATTAAATAATTAAACAAATTATTCGAATTTTTCGAATTAATTACATATAATTGAATAATTAAAGAGATTCATAAATAAATGTATTAGAAACGTTTTTTTAGAGGCATATGAAGTAAGCGACGGCGCTGAATGTAAAAATAATTCTTTTTCTCATTTTTTTAACTTCTTAAAAGTAAATGAAAGATGTGAAATTAGTGTTTTTATCTCTAAAAATTACAAATAATAGTTATTTTAATAGTGTATTTTTCAGCGTCCACTTTAATTTTAAAATTTCACATTTTTTTGTTTACTTATATTAGAGGTGATCAGAAAATTCCTTAGGTAAGAGTGAAAATGTGAAAATCAGAGAAAAACGAAATTAAAGTTTCCTGGTTAACTCTGCTATTTTAAAGGGTTATTTTAAATATTTTTTATTCAAAATACAATTTCCTAAAATTGTTCTTAAAAAATTAGAAAATTGGCTAAATTAAAAAAATACCAGTTTGACAAAAATTTTGAAACCCTGACAAATTGAAATTCCTTGGCTATAAAGAAACAAATATTCTTGTGAAGGAGGCGTATGTACAATAGACTTTTTTTCATTTAATTAGTTTTTCTCGTATATATCTATATATAATTCTGCTAAAGTAATTTATTCCACATGATAAAGTTTGATGTTAAAAGTGCACTTATTTCCAGAATAGTAATCTAATTTTCATTAATTTACGTATTTCGTCATTCTATGAACGCCAGAACCAAGTAGTTTACGGCTCGTTAAACCAGACGTGCCGGAGCCGGCTGTTTGGTCGAACGATGACTTTTATCACTGCGCTTGTCTGACCCAGAATTTTGGCTAAAACAAGCGCAGAAAATACAAGTCATCTTCAAATATATTCTTCTTTTAAAAATTTCAATTTTAAAGTGAAAAAAAAATATTTTCTCTGTTAGTTCGTTTTTATTTTCATTATTTCGTATCCTAATAATTAATACTTGAGATATATATTAAAAGTAATGAAATAGAAATTGTGAGTGGAAAATATGGATCAAATCAATAAATATAAATTGGAGCATTATTTTTCCGATCTAAGAGAAATGAAAAAAAAATGAATCCTCGGTTTTATAGGCCATTCTTTATAAAATGGCTCACAATAATGTCGATATTTGTTCCTCTCTCTTTCTCTTAAAATATTTTACCTCAATTGACTTAAGTAATTAGGTCAATTTTCGTTTGGATCTTTTTTTTCAATCATAAAACCCTTTTAACTTTTCGACACTACTCTTTTTTTTCTTATCAAAAGCTAGGAAACTTTTTTCGGAAAAATTAATTTTTTTCTAAAGTGAAGAAAATTTT